AGATGGCCGCTCCCTAGCTTTTAAGACCCCAGACACCACTCACCAAAATGGGATGCAGAACATTTTCTTAGTAAACTTTGTTATGCCAGTTGACCTAGATGTCCCTGGAAACCATGGTCCCCAGACCCCTGCTCCTGCTACCATATCCCTTAAAGTGTTTGATTGTATTCAGGAAACTTCTTAGCTTTGGTTTAGTCTAGTTGTGCTGACTTCCCCTGCAGTGCGTGCTGTCCTTCCCTTCACCTAAGATAATTCTTGTCTACCTTCTAGTTAGTAAATACCCCTCTTCCTCCCTCCCCACCCTCATAACCGTCAAAGAATGTTTTCTTCTGTGTTTAAACCTTTTCTTGAGTTCTTATAATAGTGGTCTTACACAATATTTGTCCTTTTACAACTGACTAAATTCACTCAGCATAATACCTTCCAGATTTCTCCATGTTATGTTTCACAGATTCATCGTTGTTCTTTATCGTTGCGTAGTATCCCATTGTGTGAATATACCATAATTTGTTTATCCGTTTGTCCGTTGATAGGCACCTAGGTTGTTTTCATCTTTTTGCTATTGTGAACAGTGCTGCAGTGAACATGGGCATGCATATATCTATTCATGTGACTGCTCTTATTTCTCTAGGATATATTCCAAGAAGCGGGATTGCTGGATCATATGGTTCTTCTATTTCTAGCTTTTTAAGGAAGTGCCAAATCGATGTCCAAAGTGGTTGTACCATTTTACATTCCCACCAACAGTGTATAAGTGTTCCAGTCTAAGAGAGCCTATTTTAAAGGACTTTGAAAAAAAATACTGGAAAAGCCTACAAAAAGAAAAAAAAAAAAAAAAAGCCAAATTGTATGGTTTGACTTTACCCTTATTTGAGGGCAAGATTAGATTAAATAAGTAGTTTTCAAACTATTATTTTAAAGCAATGTATTGCTATCAAATAAAATCACGAGAATTTGTAATATATAAAGTACAAAAAAGTGGTTTTTATTAATACAGATGTAAGTAAATACAGATTTACCACATTAGTCACTCAGTTGAAAAAAAAACATTGAGGCTATTTTTGGTGAATCAAGAATCTGAAATGGGATCTGGAGGATAGATGCGTCTTCTCAGTCTCAGAATCCAGCTGTGTCTTACGTGGTTACAAAGTATCAGGAAAATTCTGATGCTCATAGTTATTTAACAGCTCATTTTGCAGCCCCCGTTCTCTTCATCTAAACTTATCCACATCTTGAAATTTGAAGAAAAAGAAGTTTTCAGGTTGCATCACTAGCCTAAACACCTGCTTGCATTTTTTTAAATCATAAATGTAAGTTAGACAAGAAGTGCCCAAAACTTAAGCACTAAATCTACCTATGATATAATTACTATTGAACCACTTATTAGATGTTCACTAGTTGTTGTACAAGGGGCTATTATTGCCAAGATGAAAGCATTTGCTATGGAAATTTGCTGGGCCTGCATGACATTTAATTGGAAATGACCTAGGTGTACTGTAAACGTGCACTATCTTGAACAATTTCATATGAGTAGCCTTGAAGAGGCCTGAATTAAAAAAAAAAAAAAAAAGAGCACAGAGCTATTACCTTCCTTATCAGTGACACATTTATGGGACATGAAGCTCTGTACACACAGTTAGCAAGATAAACATTATTCCACTGCAGAAATCAATGTTTTGGTTGACTCCATTTTTATAACATTTGGTATATGACACATTTGGATGAATGCTGTCCTGTATTATACTTTGTTAAATATTTAAAATAAAGTTTAATCAAATGTGTTTGGAATTCTTTAAGTTCTTCCCTATGGTTTGAAAACTCTAAGGTTAAATAATCACTTGAGGTTCTTTGCAGCTCTGTGAGTCTTTGATACCAGTAAACCAGTTTGCCATAAAGTCAATTCTGACCCCGTGGGTGTCAGAGTAGAATTGTGCTCCATAGGGTTTTCAATGGCTGATTTTTCTAAAGTAGATAGCCAGGCTTTTCTTCCAAGGTTCATCTGGGTGGACTGGAACCTCAGCCTTTTATGCACCACAGCCTCTGAGTAAATTGGGGATCAAGTTGACTAAAATGTAAAAGTTCTGAAGAACTGTTGTCTTTTTTTAAATTTATGGTAGGTTTGAATATACTCTTAGTGAGGCCCAAAGCAGGGCTTCAAACTGGTGTTTTCAGGTTCGAACCCCTGCTGAGAATTTGCATTTCTTACAAGTTCCCAGGCAATGTTAGTGCTGCTGGTTAGGGACCAGTTCTGAGAACCACCAGTAGAGCAGTGGTTCTCAGAATTTATTATAGGTAAGAATCACCTGGAAATCTTGTTAAAATATAGATTCTGATTCAGTATATCCAGGGTGGAAATGCAGATTCTTAGCAGGGGTTCAAACCTGAACCAACCAGTTTGATGCCCTAGCCCAAAGGCACAGATTTGTTCACCCACAGATCATGACTGCATATCTCCCATATTAGGAAAAAGATACAGCGTTGCTATAATAATTTGTCTTCTTTCCTCTACCAGTGTGTCTAAATTATAATTTCTTCAGGTCCTGTAATGCTTTCAAGATCTGATATCTTAATTTATAAGTAATTTGTATCACTTCTTTTCTAATGTTAAGACATATTCACTGAAGAAACAAAAGAATCAGAAAAGGAAGAAAATAAAATTACTATAATGCCACACCCCACAAACAACCACTGTTTCCATTAGTATGTTCTCTTTGTATCTTCTTTTTTTAACCATTTTTTAAATTGTGGTGAATATAGGTAACAAAACATTTGCTGTTTCAACAATCTTCACATTCTTCATGTCTTTTTTCCTATGTATATTACAATGTAACTTATTTCAAAACATATTCATTGTAGAAAAAAAAGAAAACACAAATAAATAAAGACTGCCTTTAAGCCTACCAGTCGGTGGTAATCATTTTAGCGTACAACCTGCTAGCCTTTTTCTATGCATAAGTGTGTAAGTGTATGTATATATACATTCTTTTCATAGTAGTTGGGACCATATGCTGCACAGCTACCCTACTGTTTTATTTAACATCATAATGGGAACATTTTCACAAGTCAATAATAATTACTCAAAAATTTCACTTTTAGTGTTATCATAATATTATATTCTATAAAATCTAAAAACCTAAACTTACCTCTTCCCCATCAATAGATGTTTTAAATAGTATTCAGTTTTCACTAATTCAAGTAATGATGCAGTTAACTTCTTTGCATAAATTTTTCTGTGTCTGTTGTTTCATGTAGGATCCTAGAAATGGAATTCTTGGATCGTTTTGAAGGAACTTGAAATATATTGGCTGATTTCTAGAAAAGTTATACTGGCTTATACTTTCACTTCACTTTAAGGAACTCTCTATAACATTTCCTTAAAATCTCTTCTATTCTGATGTAATGCTAATGTTGATTTATATATATATTTTTAATATAGAATCAGCAACTGGCCAGGTTGTAGTATATATTCATGTTAGCAAAAAGTAGAAAAATTTTAGATTTTGCAATATAGGAATTAAGTAATTCATATTGTTTACAGGAAAATATAATTATTGCAGAAGTGTAATTATAGGAAATACTGTATGTTAGGGACAGCCCCGCTAGTCTATCTTCACAACAGCAATTTCATTGTAGAAATAGAGAAATAATAAATGGCTAAATATGTGTGAAGGTTACATTATGTGCTACTCCTTGTCCTAATCGAGTTTCTGTCCCTGGCATCTAGCATGGTAGTTGACTCAGTGTAAACACTCTAGTGGATTGATCAGTGAATTAATGGTTTTTACTACCTGATAATTATTGAAAAACATATTGGAAACTAGCTTTGTTTCAACAGCTTATATCTTTTCCTCCTGAGGTATGTTTTGTCAATTGAGAGTGCTGAAGAGATACGAGAATATGTCACTGACCTCCTCCAGGGAAATGAGGGCAAAAAAGGTCAATTCATCGAAGAGCTTATAATCAGATGGCAAAATAATGATCAGGAGTCTATTTCTGATCCTTTGCAGCAATACTTCAAAAAGGATGGTAAGTAAAGATTGAAATGTTATTTATTTTAATACCAGGTTTATAGGACCTGGTATTTTCTGTCAGGCTGCATTTCCTCACAGCTAGCTTAAGCAGAATCACGTGTCCTTTTTTTAGTTTCGTTCTATATAATCTGTAACAACTATTGTTCTAGTTCAGACTTTTTCAACTTAGAAAATATCTCAAGAATGCTTGTTTCCAGACACAAAATGTGGCTTCAGAATAGTTTGAAAATTTTTTATGTGAATTAAAGAAACATTTTTCAGCTATATGTATGCCTGTTGGTTAATTATTGTATGAATAGCATTTAGAGGTTAAGTATTTAGTTAAACAGTATAAAAGATGAGCATCAAACTAAAGAATCGAACCCATGTCTAACTGTAGATTATTATACAATCTATAATATCAGATATTAATTCAGTTTCTTAATCCTGACCAGTAGTATTTGTTGTTGTTGTTTTTTATAACTGAATACAATCTTGAGAATGATGGCTTAAATTTAATTCTGGTTTGAGAGAAAAAGATAATTTAAAAATCTGCCTGGCTTGATACGTTGGCTCAAGATATTAAGGATTGCATTTTCTTTATTGGCTATTAGAAGTTTAACAATGAATTCTGCTATTATCAGTCTGCCTACATATATATAATTTCTTTTTCTTTAAAGAAATTTTAGATGGGCAGAGATCAGGAGACCAAATAAAGAAAAGTAGACGGAAAGGGAGAAACAGACAGGAAGTCCCTTCTTCATTTGCTGAACCTGACACAGCCGTAGAGGTTAAAACACCTTTTGATTTGGCCAAGGTGAGTGCTTATAGAATGAAGCTTTTTCTGGCTATATGGAGAAGAACAGGAAGTAACTAACGCATTTCAGAGAGCAAAGTGTACAAATTGGTCTAGAAGGGCAATTTTTCAACAAATACATGAGAAAAAAATGATAATTATGATATACTGCTTTCTGTATAGTAGATTTCTTTTGGCAGCACGATTACATCAATATTATAAGGCCATCTTTGCTTAGAGATGAGACTGAGATATATGTGTGTCTATATATTATATATGATGGAAAATATTTAAGGAAGGGCCGCAACACTTCATTTTCAACATTTTGTTGTGTGTTTATACAAAAAAAACGGCCCAATTCTAGCTCTTGTTAGGAGTGTTCCCATTCTGAGCCCGTCTCCACTACCACCATCATCATCTTAATTCAGCTTTTAGAACTTTTTCACATTCTGTCTTTTGACTCTTATCACAGCACTGTGGAGTAAGCAGAAATATTTATAATCATGCCAATATGACAGGCTAAATTTCCCAGAAGAAGGGACGAGTTAATTGAGCTAAAACGGAAGTGTCGTCACCAAAAAATTCTGAGTCTGATGATCATGCCAAAAAGATGGAAAAGCGTTTCTACAAAAATGTTACAGAAAAAAATGATAAAAGCTTTTTGTCAATAGGAAAAAGATGAGCAAAAACTATTATACGTAAAAGAAGAAGCACAAATGACTGCTAAACAAAAAAATGTTTAATCTTACTTTGCCCAGGACTTTCCCAGTTTTAGCACTGAAAACTTTGCCTGCTGGGAACCGCCCCCTCCCCAGTCCCAGATAAACAGGGTGGTTGGTCACCATACTAGTCATCAAATAAATTATACATTAAATTATTGAAATATTGCCGATCAAATTGTCAAATATTTTAAAAAGTGATAGTGAGGTATTAAAACAGGCGTCTCCTATACACTACCCAAAAACTACCCAAAAACTCGTTGCCGTCGAGTCAGTTCCAACTTGTATACGCTACTGGTGGCAACATAGATTGGTTTAAGCTTTCTGTGGGGTAGTTTGACAGCATGCGTCAAGAACTGAAAGTTCGTATGCTTTAGACTATTAATATTACTTCTAGAAATCTAACTTGAGGAAATAATCAGAAATATACAGAAAAAAACTTGTATTCTGTATAGTGTTATTAATAATATTGAATATTGAACTGACCTGATTGTCCAGCAGTAGGAGAAAGATTAAATAAATTATTGTTCCCTCATTTGATGGAATACCATACAGCTAATAAAATTGTTCTCCAAAATATATAACTTGGGAAAATGCATACCACAGAATATCGAGTGGAAATAAACATGAATCAAAGATGTATATATATATGGGTGTGTGTGTGTATATATATATATGTATGTATGTATATGTATGTGGACCCCCGGTGGCGCAGTGATTAAGAGCTGCTAACCAAAAGGTCGGCAGTTTGAATCCACCAGCTGCTCCTTGGAAACCCTATGGGGCAGTTCTGCTCTGTCCTGTGAGTCACTATGAGTTGGAATCAACTCAATGGCAATGGGTTTAGTTTGGTTTTATGTGTATATATACATGTATGTATATACACACACGCACATACATGTATGCACAATCATACATTTAGGTGCAAACATTTGTTGTTAGTTGCTGTCAAGTTGATTCTGACTCATGATGACCCCATGTGTCCAGAGTAGAACTGCTCCATAGGGTTTTCAAGACTGTGATCTTTTGGAAGCAAATCACCAAGCCTGTCTTCCAAGACATCTCTGTGGGTTTGAAACACCAACCTTTCAGCTCGTAGTTGAACGCTTAACTGTATGCGTCACCCAGGGACTCCTTCCAAATGCACGTACACCCCTGATTTCCATGGAACCATATAAATACATAAAAAAGACCATGAGGAAAATGTCAAGGGTGTTTTTTCTTCAGATGATATGATAATCATTATTTTAAATTTTCTTCTTTATACTTGTATCTCCTTTCTTCTTCTTTTTTTTTTTTTTTATTTCTTTTGTTTTATTTTCCCTCTTTTTCCCTTTTTGCCTTTCTTCATTTCTCAGTTTCTTGTCTCTTTTTTACAATGAACATTAATAGCTTTTTTTTAATGTGGAAAGTAAAAGAGTAACAAGTAATGTAACAAACACCCAAGTGCTCACCACCTAGAATGGACAATTGATATACTTTTTCATATTCATTTCAAGTTGGGTTTGTTTTTTTTTTTTAAATAAATAGAACCATACAGATAAAGTCAAAAGCCTCTTTTTTCCCTATACCCCCAGGGGACACTTGGCAAAGTCTAGAGACATTTTTGGTTGTCAGGTCACGGAGGGGGTGCTCCTGACATCTAATGGGTAGAGGCCAGGGATGTTGCCAAACATTCTGCGATGCACAGGACAGCACCCACAGCAAAGAATCAACACTGCCAAAGTGCCCATTTTGCGAAACCCTACATCCGCAGTCCCATTTCCTTCTACCCTACAAGTAACTATGTGCTATCATGTATTTGGTGTGAATCATAATAATACATTTTTTCATATATAGGTGTCCATGAACAATAAAAGTAGTATAGTTTGGCGTGTGTGTGTGTTTTGATGTACGTAAATAATACGCTGTTATAGTTTGTAAACCTTTTTTAGAATTCCGAATTTTTTAGAGCTCTCCATGCCAATATATAAACTTTGGTTGCTTCTCTTAACTCCTATATAATATTCCATTGATTTAATCTCTCCATATAATCAATTATATCAATTAAATCAACGTGTAGTAATACATATTTGTGCTTTTGTAATATTTTGCTGTTACAAAACGTGCTGCAGTGAACATTCTTGTACATCTCTCCTTTGTGTACATTTGAGAGACTTTCTGTAAGGTGTGTTTACTTGTTACTACAATTGCTAGGTTGTAGGCATTGTTAATTTATCTTTATTGATGCTACCAAATTAGTCTCTAAAGTGGCTGTACCAGTTTTATACTTCCACCAGCAGGGCCATAGATTTCTCTTTTCCCCTCTTTTGCCAAGACACAGTGTTGTCAGACTTTTAAAGTTTTGCCCATTTTAAGAATGAGAAAGAGTATCTTATATAAGTTTGCAATCCCATGATTTCTAAAGAGAGGCGGAATGTCATTTTGGAGTTTTTTTGTTTTTTGGGGGGGTTTTCTAGACTTTTGGGTTTCTTCTTCTGTAAACTACTTATTCATATCCTTGGCCTGTTTTCCTACTGAATTAATTGTTTTTCAAATTGATTTATAGTTCTTTATGTGTTCTATGTATTACTCCTTTGTTGTATGTATTACAGATCTCTTCTAATCTGTATTTTGTCCTTAGTGGTAATCTTTTGACTCATAAAATGTTTAATTTTGATGTAGTCAGATATCTTGATCTTTTTTTTGTGTGTGTTTTATGTCTTTTGTGGCTTATTTAAGCTTTATGACATTTTTCTCACCCCAAAGTGAGAAAGATATTCTCATAAATTTTCTTCTAATATTTAAAAGTTTTGATTTTGACATTTAGGTTCGTAATCCACCTGAACATTATTTTGAGTGATTTTTTTTTTGTATTAACTCTTATAAGTAAAAATAGTTGTTTTTTAAGTAGAAAATATGTATGTGTGTGTGTATTACATATATAGTAATTAGAAGTATATGGAATCTTAGCAAATAAGAGTAAGCGTTAAATGAAAATATTTTCTAGTAAGAGTGTTGAAATAATAGATGAAGTTGTTAAAGTCTTATTTTATAAACTCTTATTTCATAATTTTATTTAGTGATTATGAAACAATGATATAAAATATAATAGTAAACTTTTAATGAATTAATTTTTAATGTTTAAGAAAGAAAATTGTCAAAAGCAACATGAGAACTAGTATCTACATTTTCTCCTTTGAATCATTTTCCTAAAGATGCTTTTTAAAAAATTCTAGTTGTTTTAAAATATTTTGAGGTTATTTATAAGTAATTTTAAAATTGGTGTATGCTAGTCTCTTTAATTTTTTTCTTTTTTGTAATTCTTTAACCTTTTAATTAATTCATTCCGTTTTCCTCTAATCATTTATGAATCCACATTAAAGAAGGCTGCCTTGACTATGTAATATTCCTACTGGTAAAACTTAGCTTTTTAGTGCTGTAGATGCCAATTGTAGCTTGACAGAGTGTTCTACTGAATGTATTACTGGCCCTTAATGAATAATAAGTTCCCCTGATGCTTGCTATTAAGTAGGTTTTAATAAGGTAAAATAAAAACTCTGGTTTACTCTTGAGTTCCCAGACTTAGGTGGGGAAAGAGCTTCAAATTAATAATCATTTAACATTTAATTTCATATCCCTTGATACTTTAAAAGCTATTTGTATGCCAGCAGCCTGTTTCTGAGTCTATATTTTGCCCTTGAGTGTTTTGTACTCATTAAAAGCAAGCTTGGAAAAAAGTTTGAAAAAGTGGTTTATCCCCTCTAAATACTTATGATTGCATTTTTGGACTTGTAGGTAAACCTATCTTGATCTTCCACAGGCAGTTCATTTGGTTATTCAGAAATTTTATTGATGTCTGCTGTATGCCAAGCACTGATTTAGATATTGGAAGTATATCGATAAACAAGGCATATTAGGTTTTCTTTTTCTTCTAGAGTTTACATTTTAGTGGTTGTCTTAGTCATCTAAGAAACCAAAAAACAAACCCATTGCCGTCGAATCGATTCCGACTCATAGCGACCCTATACGACAGAGTAGAACTGCCCCACAGGGTTTCCAAGGAGTACTTGGTAAATTCAAACTGCTGACCTTTTGGTTAGCAGCCATAGCTCTTAACTACTGTGCCACCAGGGTTTCCATTAGTCATCTAATGCTGCTATAATAGAAATACCAAAGTGAATGGCTTTAACAAACAGAAGTTTATTCTCTCACAGTCTGGTAGGCTAAAAGTCCAAATTCAGGGCATCATCTCCAGAGGAAGGCTTTCTCTCTGTCGGCTCTGGAGGAAGGTCCTTGCCATCAGACTTCCCCTAGTCTAGGGGCTTCTCCGTGCACGAACCTCAGGTCCAAAGGATGCGCTTTGCTCCTGATGCTGTTTTCTTGATGGTATGAGGTCCCAATGTCTCTCTGCTCGCTTATCTCTTTTATATCCCAAAAGAGATTAGCATAAGACACTATCTAATCTTGTAGATCTCATCACTATAACTGCCGCCAATCCATCTCATTAGCATCATAGTGATAAGATTTACAACACACAGGAAAATCGCATCAGATGACAAAATGGTAGACAATCATATAATACTGGGAATCATGACCTAACCAAGTTGACAGATATTTTTGGGGACACAATTCAATCCATGACAGTGGTTCAGATGAAAGGATAGAGAAGATAAAGAAATTAAAAAGGGAAAAAGAAAAAAAGGTAATAGATTGTGAAAAGTGCCATAAGAAATAAAAAGGGTGGTATGATTGGCAATAACTGGTAGGATGGAGCTAGTTTAGATAGGGCGTTCAGATGACATTGTAGCTAAAACCTGAACACAGAAGAAGCTAGTGTGTGACGAGTGGGGCTAGGAACACTGCAGGTAGAAGGAATAACAAGTGCCAAGGGTGGGAGGATATTCTAGGAAGTATCAGAAGGCCTGTGTGGCTGGAGGATAATAAGCAAGGGAAGAATGGTATGTAAATGAGGTTGGAAAGTACTGAGGGACAGATGTAGGGCTTTGTAGGCCATTATAAGTAGTTTGGATTTTATTCTAAGTGCAAAAGGAAACCAATGAATGGTTTTAAGCATGAGATGATATGCTGTGAATGTTCCTGTTTGCCGTCTTCTCTCCTCTCTTGCAATAAGTACCTCTTGCCCATTACTTGTAAGAGACTTCATCAAAGCACAGCCCCAATCCCTCAATGATGTTATTTTAATGCAACTGGATACTTTAATGGGGGTCAAAATACAAGCTTTTGCTTAGAGATTTAAAATCTCCTCACCACCATTCCTGAGAGCCAAAGATATCACTGACCAATTTTGAAAAATGGCAACCTGCTAGATTGGATAAAATCTTCAGTACTTGTCTCAGATTTTCAGTCTTAACTTAAGTTGACTTCTTATTTAATTTGATGTTTTCTAGAGACAATATCTCAACTCTCTGACCTTGGACATTAGGGCATGTCACATCTCTTTTTACTTACCAAAGACCTGTTCTTTTCCTTGTAGTAACTCCCGTATATGCTAGAACTGTTAAGAAGAATTTTCTTCTCTGAAACTTCAGTCTTGGGAAATGATTGAGAAACTCTCAATTTAGGGGGAAGGTAATGAAAAAGACCACAACATGGTTTCAGAAAGAAGCATCTCTAGATTTTAAGTGTTAGAAGCTGATAAACATGGTTCTTTTAAAAAAAATTTTTTGTTTTATAACGTACATGCAGAAGTGAACAGATGAATTTTCACAAACTGACAATACCTATATCCAAAAAAAAAAAAAAAAAACCTGTTGCCATTGAGTCGATTCTGACTCAGTGACCCTGTAGGACAAAGTAGAACTGGCCCATAGGGTTTCCAAGGCTGTAATCTTTACAGGAGCAGACTGCAACACCTTTCACCCACAGAGTGGCTAGTGGGTTCAAACCACTGACCTTTTGGTTAGCAGCCGAGCACTTAACCACTGCACTTCCAGGGCTTCTGATACCTATATATCAGTCCCTTAAAAGACCTCCTTATATGCCTGAAAATCACATTCCTCCCAAGGGAAAATGCTTTCTTGACTTCCAGCACCACAGATTAGTTTTGCCTGTTTGAACTATATAGAAATGGAGCTGTATAGTAGGTACTCTTTTGTGTCTAGCTTCTTTCAGTTGACATTCTGTTTATGAGATTTGTCCATATGGTTTTGGGTAGCTGTACTTTTTCATTCTTCTTGCTACATGTCTTAGTCATCCAGTGCTGCTATAACAGAAATACCACAAGTGGATGGCTTTAACAAAGAGAAATTTATTCTCTCACAGTCTAGGAGGCTAGAAGTCCGAATTCAGGGTGCCAGCTCCAGGGGAGGGTCCTTGTCATCAGTCTTTCCAGGTGGAGGAGCTTCTCAGCACAGGGATCCTGGGTCCAAAGGACACGCTGTTTTCCTGGCTCTTGTTTCTTCGTGCTGTGAGGTCCCCATGTCTCTCTGCTTGCTTCCCTCTTTTATATCTCAAAAGAGATTGACTTAAGACACAACCTAATCCTGTAGTTTGAGTCCTACGTCGTTAACATACCTGCCTCTAATCCTACCTCATTAACATCAGAGAGGTTAGGATTTACAACACATAGGAAAATCACATCAGGTGACAAAATGGTAGACAATCACACAATACTAGGAATCATGGCCTAGACAAGTTGACACACATTTTTGGGGGACACAATTCAATCCATAACACTACGTAAGAGTCTGTTTAGTGAATTTATCACAGTTTATCCATTTTACTGTTGAACATTTGGGTAATTTCTAATTTTAATGCTGCAGTGCACATTTTTGTACATGTCTTTGGGTGAACATTTTTACACAAGTCTGTTGGGTATGTACCCATGAGTTGAATTGCTGGGTCACAGGATGTACATATGTTCAGCTTTAGGAGATACTAGTTTGTATTCCCATCAGCAGTATAATTTTAATTGCTCTGGTCCTCACCAGCACCTTGTATTTTCTGTCTTTTTCAATTTAACCATTCTGGTTGGTGTGTAGTGGTATTATATTGTGGTTTTATTTTGCATTTTCTTGATGACTAATGAAGTTCAGCACCTTTTCATGTGTCTGTTGGTCATTTGGGTATTTTCTTTTATAGAGTGCCTGTTGAGGTCTTCTACCCATATTTCTACTATGTTGTCTGTCTTTATCTTATTGATTTTTTTATTGTGTCAGTTTTTAATTGATTTTTCTTATTTTATTGATTGTCCTGGTTTCCAAATCCATGAATATTATCTGCTTTCAGATGCATCCTTGTTTCTTATAATCTCCAGTTTAGCTATGCATAATTACAAATGTCACATATACAGTCTTGACTGCTTCATTTACTTCCAGCAGCCATAGTAGGGGACTGAAAGCTCCTAGTAGCAGAAAAGGTAAGGTAATTAACTATTAGCTAGTTTTTCTAGACTATAACCTTTCCTCAGACCCTTGATTGTAACTACCTTGTGTTTCTCCCACTCCCAACCTTCTTCCATAGTTCCTGGGAAGTGTATAAATGTTATCGTTCTCCCCTAACTATTTTCATTGTCTTTAGTTGTTTGATACTATTTCTGATGTCTTTGTACATTAGGCACAAGAGAACAGTAGTTCCTTAAAGAAGAAGACGAAGTTTGTCAATTTATACACAAGAGAGGGACAGGACAGGCTTGCGGTCCTGCTCCCTGGTCGCCACCCTTGTGATTGCCTGGGCCAGAAGCACAAGCTCATCAATAACTGTCTGATCTGTGGGCGTATTGTCTGTGAACAAGAGGGCTCTGGCCCTTGCTTATTCTGTGGCTCTCTGGTAAATTGTTTCTTTTCTATTTTATTTTATTGTGCTTTGTGTTAATATGCAGGGCCATTCAGATCCCTAGTAATTTCTCTTTTCCTTAGTAAATCTCTCCCCTAAGATGTCCAGTGAACTCAGCAGGAATTTGATTAGTCAAAAACCCAAGGTTATATGTTAGTACTGAGGCTTGTTAGTGGGAAGGGTTTTGAGAAAGTACATTGTTGGGGGATCCAGTTCTTGCATTAGATTAACTTCAATGCAAAAGAACTTTAGGGCTTGAAATGTCAAAACATTTTGTCAGAGTCTTCAGATGTGGTTCATATCCTTAGGAGAACAGAGCCACTGTGACATAGTCCTCAGGTCATTATAGCTTCTGTTTCCAGGACACCTCCCTGTTACAGCTCTGCTCTGAGAGAAAGACCTTGAGAATGTAGCGCTAAGGACTCTCTCACAAAAGCTCTAATGAGCTGTCTAGAAAGCTTATGCTGCCAGTTGAGCTGGCTGGCAGAAGCAGTGGCATTTGGTGTTGGTGAAGGCATCCATTTTATATTGCTTTCTTTTCTCTTCTTCTTTGATGAGGCCCTTAATTTTTTCCCATATACTCAAAGAATAAGCTGATAGACAATGGATGACCTGAAAAATGTAGTGTATACCAAGAAAAATGTTGGTGAAATGACAGTAGATCTCTTCCCATATGGGGCTTTCTCTAGAGAAATACTCTACAGCTGCTGGCAAGTACTCTTTGTGTCACTGACGCAACTGTTAGGAAGTACACTGTCTTCTCTTAGGTTTAACAAACAGTAATGTAAAGCAGATTTGCCTTGAAGTCTTTAATTAAAGTTTTATAAGCTCAATATGAAATTGTTTTTAAGCAACCCCTTCTCAACCTCCCTTCTTACAACTGCAGCGATTTTATAATAAAAACCTTTTCTTTGCTTATTCGTTATTTTATAAGTAGACAATGTTCAAAGGCAAAGAAACAAAATATACAGTATAAAAGCTAGACTAGTTCTCACTGATTGGCACTGTAATTTACTTCATTTTCTGATTCTAATAAAGCATCTGCTTATAATTTCTCTTGTAAGACTCGGCCTTCAAGATTAGAAGTGGGAAGGCTTTAAAAAAAAAAGTCTTGTATGTTTTGTTCAGTATTCTCAATGGTAGCAAATCTTTGTCCTTTGTGAGTAGGTTAGATTTTTTTTTTTAACCATCGGGTCATTCAGAAACACTTGGCAGTGAGATCAGTTTTATTGTATGGCTCATAAAAGGAGAGAAATGGAAGGAGACCTAGGGCAACACTCATTTGGATATATATTTTTTGGTATATTTGTCCAGATTAAAAAGACACCAACAGTCTCATTATCATAATATCTAATGCGTGATTTGAGATTACGTTTTAGGTATATCAAGCAAACAATGTAACTTCATTGGATCGTGTATTTTTACTCTTATTACTTTGTAGGTATGCACTCGTGAAGAGCAGGATATTTTACAGCGTGACTCAAACAAGAGCCAGAAACTGCTGAAGAAGCTCATGTCAGGTGGGCAGCTTTCTTGTGATTGGATCAGTGTGGCGATAGGTACATTGTGTTATAGCTGTGGCTATTTCTCCATCCTATATCCTGGTATGCAAGATGTAGTTCATTCACTCACTTATTCTACATGCATTTATTTATTTTTTTTTAAATTCATTATTAAAACCATGTAACATTGAGCAACAACATACATAAAAGTAGTGGCTTATAACCCAAAAATAAAATGAGTATCTATGAGACCATACTCATTATGTTAGATCCCCGGGGCTGTTGTAATAAAGTAGCACAAACTGGGTAGCTTAACACAACAGACATTTATTCTCTCACAGTTCTAGAAGCTAGAAGTTTGAAAGTACAATGTCAACTGAATTTTGCTCCCTCCAGAGGCTCTAGTGGAGCATCCTTCCTTGCCTGTGCAGCTTCTGGTCGCCCCAGATGTTCCCTGGTTTGTGGCAGCATAACTCCCATCTCTGCCTCTATCTATAGATGGCTGCCTCTGCTGTGTTTTTCTGTCCTGTCTCTTCTTATAAGAACACCAGTCATATCGGAAGAGGGTCCACCCTGCTCCAGTATGGCCTCGTGTTTACTGATTATATCCACAGAAATGCTATTCCCAAATAAGGTCACATTCACAGATACCTGAGGTTAGGACTTCAACCTATCTTTCTGGGGAATACAATTCAATCCATGACACTCCTAAATAAGTAAATAATTGAATAAGTTAAATTGAGCAGAAGGACAACTCTTTCTTACGGAAGAATTCCAATTAATCAAGTAGAAGAAATGAGAGTAATAGAAAATCATCATTAGAACACCACAGTAGTGATTGCTACAGGTAAGATCTACGGATGGATGCTAAAATTATTGGGCAAATGTGTAAGAACAGGAGATTGGCAAGGTCATGAAAGACAAGGAAAGCCTGAGGAACTGTCTGTCACAGATTAGAAGAAACTAAGGAGACTTGACAGCTATGTAGGATCCAAGATTGAATCCTGGAACAAAAAGGACATTAATGGAAAAAATGTTGAAAATCAAATAAAATCTGTAATTTAGTTAATAAATAGTATTGTACCATTGTCAGATGTTTTAGTTTTGATAATTGTACCATGGTTATGTAAGAATGATAGTAACACTAATGGAAGATGGGTGCAGGTTATACAGGAACTCGACTATTTTTGTAACTCTTTTTTAAGTCTTTTATAAAGTTCTAAAAAAGTATCTCAAAATTAAAAAAAAATGACAAAAATAGTTAAGGAAATTCTTAAAAGGAAAAATATACTCATTACTGTCCACTTAAGCAAATATTTTGTTTCTGCTTTAGTTCGTACTTTTTTTTTTTTAAATGTAGATTGGTTGATATTATAAAGTAGCAATGATAGTGCATATAGAATTTTATGTTTTTCCTTTGTTTCAATTAATATTTCATAATTAGTTTCTATGTTGCTGTGTAATCATCATTATTTATTGCTTCTAGTGGCTAAGAATTGTCTATTGATTTGATGTAATCTGATTACTTTTGCCCTATTACTAGATATTTTGGCTCTTTCTGATTTTCCTTAATTATAACTAATACCACAAATGGTTATTGTATCTTTTGATTTATTTCCTTGGGATAAATTCCTAAGAATGGGATTACTGCGTCCAAAAATACAATCATTTCCGACATTTGAGAGGTCTTTGCTAAATTACTTTACCAAAATATTATACCAATCTACAGAAATATTAGCAATGTACCCCCAAATCTGTCACTATTGAATTTTGAAATTTCATTTTTTTATAGTTGTAATTTTTTTTTAACATTGTTAACGAGATTGAACATGTCTCCATAGTTCTTCAGTTTGGGTTTCTATAAGATCATCATTATGAGAAAAGGTAGTTCTAAGTGTTTTTTTTATGTTTAAAACACAAGAATGACTTATAATTTTTTTTTCAAAATTTTAAAATAAATGCTTGACAAAAGTTTAAATAGGCTTGGGGTTATAGGTAAAAAGAGAGGTCAGCCTTTATTACAGCCTAGTTTTTTCCCTAACACATTTTGGATCTTGGCTTTATTGTAATCTGTGGCTCTCTCTTCTGGGATATATAGTTTTCTGGCATTCTGTTACAAAGGAGATGGAACATGGGTGGTGGAAAGAATGTGGGCTTTAGAGTTAGATCTGGGTTCAAATTTCATTTCTACCTTCTAATTTCTAACTGAGTAGACTCCATAAATGTATTACCATCTATGAACTTCAGTTTTCTTATCTGTAAAGCAGAAAATAAAAACTGTCTTACAGGGTTATTGTAAGATATAAAATAGTATGAAGTATAGTAACTGCCCTAGCATCTAATAGGTTCTCTCATTAACAATTTCTAACCCCTGAAATTTCTTCTCTTTTTTTCTTCTATTATTTAGTTTTCAGTTTTAATATGTAAAGGTGTATTTAAATGTGATATTCAGCCCTACTCTGTAAACTTTTTATGGCATTATTTTGTTGCATTGTTAAATAATTTGATACTCCTTAGTGACCCAAATTTCCTGAAGAGAAGAAAAGGACACTCATATTTATTGAGAACCTATTATGTGTCAAGCACTGACTGATGCTCTGCAAATAAAGCCTGGCCTGTGTACTTGTTTGTTTTCCATTGAAGTGAAGGCTCCAGGCCGTCAGGGGCCGAACCAGATCTGGTGATGTTTTGTTTGCTGCACAGTGGTACAACTAAGTTGGTATTATAGGCTGACACCATTTGGTTTCCTTATTGAATTTCAGGGACGGAGAATTCTGGAAAGGTGGATATCTCCCCCAGGGACCTTCTTCCTCATCAGAAGTCTCGAATTAAGTCTGGCCTAGAGAAGGCTGTCAAGCATAAAGACAAACTGTTAGAGTTTGACAAAACTAGGTATGATATGGATGGAATAACAAATGTTAAGAAATAGATTAGTCCACAGATTCTAGCCATTAAAACATTATTTTGGAACTTGATACCTTCTCAGGGTAGAGTAGGAAAGTAAAGAGAGCTGGGTACAGTTTGCAGGATGCCTACAGCTTGTTTTTGAACCCATGTTTGAATAAGAGAGGTTCCCACTGTGAGGATCCTACCTTGCAGCATTTTTTGATTCTTGGCAAATGCTAGTATCCCCCTTGGAAAGACAAGTCAGGCTGATGTAATTCCCCATTTGTTTCACTTGCAGCCATTCATGCTCTCAGTCAATAAATATTAGCGCCTACCGTGTGCCAGCTGCTGTGCTAGACTCTGGAGAATCTAGAAATTGCCTCTGGAGAGCATACCCCCCAAAAAAACAAACCCATTGCCATCAAGTTGATTCTGACTCATAGCAACCCTATAGGACAGAGTAGAACTGCGCCATAGAGTTTCCAAGGCTGTAATCTTTATGGAAGCAGACTGCCATATCTTTCTCCTGTGGAGCAGCTTGTGGGTTTGAACTGCCGACCTTTTGGTTAGCAGACGATCGCTTAACCACTGTGCCACCAGGACTACTGAAGACCATAGGTAGCACCATGTTATAGGAAGTCATCACTTACCTTCTCCTTTCCCTTTGATACTGATTTATTTTTTGATTCAATAATCAGTGTGTTAAAATAGATCTAAACTGGCTTTTAAACACCTTACTGTTGTTGTTTAGCCCACTGACTTCTCTTTAGGAGACAGATTTATGGATTTGTTAGTTCCATTTTTTTATTTCCTTCTTTTTCATATTTTTCGTTTGGACAACATATGTATCGGAAACCAGCAGGTGGCAAAGAATGTTTAGATAGGACTTCTCAAATGGCCGTGTGAGAATCTGTTAAGTCCTGAGAGAGCCCTGGAATCTCTTACTTATTGCGACTGACCTGGGAATCCATTCCTGGCATTATAATCCTTTGATGAGCCAGCACCGGCTACTTCCTTCCAAACCATTTGCTATGAATATATGAGATATAATTTAGGAAATTATTCCTTAAGTAAGCCCATCCCAAGATTTGTAACTCACATTCGCTCTTAATGCTTTAAATATCACATTTATCCCCCCTCAGTACAAGTGAGCGTTAGAAACGGAGTTAGAAGTGCAGTGCATTTCCTGATAAATAGAGACTGGAGATGGATCTCTCCCTACTGATGTTGCTGCTTTGCTGGGTATGTTCAACGGCACTACTTTCATACTCTAGGTTCATGTAGAGGACCAGTTTCCTCCAGAACCCTCTTAAACGTCCTATTTTAGGAAAAGTCTACATTAAGACTTAAAATCTTTTTATAACTCCAGCTGAGTCCTGAAAAATTGGAATCAATATATGATCTATATTTGAGACATTAACATCAAGGACAGGAGAAGAATGAGCTTCCTTCAAACAATTTCTTTGTAATCAGACCCTATTTGTCAACTAGTAAGCTAATTGCCGTGGTTCTTTTTTGTGTTAGTGTTCGAAGGACCCAAGTCATTGACGATGAGTCAGATTACTTTGCCAGTGATTCTAACCAGTGGTTGTCAAAAATTGAGCGGGAAACCCTGCAGAAACGACAGGAGGAGCTGAGAGAACTTCGACATGCCTCTCGGCTCTCTAAGAAGATCACTATCGACTTTGCAGGCAGGAAGATCCTAGAAGAAGAAAATCCACTAGCAGAATATCACAGCAAGTAAGTGGGCAGCATCAGAAAGGGTCTGAAAGAGGGGGCCATTTATAATGGATTTTTCCCCTCTAGTGAATCCATTGTTTTTGTTGATTTTAAAAGTAATGTATTCATTTGGAATGCAAAACATATAAGAATAACTTAAAATTGTTTGAAAATAAACAGTAAGTTTTCCTACTAGATAAAACAGTTTTTTTTTTTTTAATAAAGTACAGTAATTAAAACAATGAGGAGTAGTTTGGGCACAGGAATAAATAGATGAAACATAATAGAATCAAGAAAGAGACCTGTGTGTCTGTATGTGTTTCCATGGGTCTTGTGTGAATTTTGTGAGCAATAAAGGTAACATTTCTAAGCAGTAAGAAAAGGATTAAAAATATGATGTTGGGATGATTAGCCACCAGTTTGGAAAGAAATTAGGTTAGATCTCTACTTCAAACCATATTGTGATAATAAGTGTGACTGAAGAGTTAAATGTAAAAGAGAGAAATAATAAAGTAAAAAGACAATACCAGATGGGGAGAAAATATTTTAAACATTTTCAGTATAGTATGGATATACAAGAGTGGTATCCATACTATATAAAGACTTCCTGCAAATTAAAAGAAAAAGACAAAAAGTCCAGCAGAAAAATGGGCAAAGGCTAAGATCAGACAGTTCACTGATGAGATACAATTAGCCAATAAACATTTGAAAAGATGCTCAACTGATAATTGGGGAAATGCAAATTTAAAAACACAATGTATCATTTTTTCCTTATCAAATTGACTTTAAAAAAGGTGATATTCAGTAATGTGAGAGTGTAGGAAAATGGATGTACTCTCTTACTATAAAATAGCACAGACTTTTAGAAGGGAAATTTGACAGCATCTCAATTTGAATTGTACATACTTTTTGACTTAACAAAATGCCGTTTCCTCATCTCTTTGTCAACAGCTTTTTTAAACATTTGCCATTCTGATACATGAAAAAATGGTATTTCATCATAGTTTTTAATTCACATTTCTTTGCTTTGGTTGTATACTAGTAAATTTCCATGTTCTAAAATGTATTGATGAGCTATTTGTATTATTTGTTTAATAGATTCTAGAGTTGTGAATATGCTTGCCACTGTAATATGTCTCAGCTCTATTTCCCTCCTTCAGATCCCACTATCTCTACCCTATTTTAGACCCATCTCTTCCCTCAAATTCTTACACTTTTTTTTCTTTTTTTTAGCTTCATGCCTTTGTTTCTGTCTTTTTCTTGGTTTGGAAATCCTTCCTCAATCTTTGCCTTTCAAATATTTTTTTCTGCCTTGTACCTACTGGATACAACGCGTGGGATGATGTGATAATAACCGCCAGATAGGTTGTGCCTATTTCAGTAATTGTTACATCCTCCCATTTATTTTCATCATCTCTATAGGTGTCTTAAACCTGCCACTTAGATTGAAAGTTTCTTGAAGGCAGGAACCATGTCCTCCATACCTTCTAAGTTGCCTTGCATATGAGAGATTCCCAACAAATAGTTCTTGAATTGAATTCAGAGGCAAGTTCAGCCTTTCCTATTAGTAGAAACTTTTTGTTATATTGTGCCTCAGAAGTTATCATCATCCACAAATGTTTGTCAGGCATCCAGCATGGCATGGGGTACAGCAGCAAGTAATGTAGAGGTACAGAGTAGAATAAGATGTGGTCCTGCAGGACCTATGATCTCTTAATAACCAGTAGGATTATTTTCACAATCCTTAAATGAAAAAACGTCACATTCTCTTACAGGTTTAGAGCCAAATAATCAAAGCAGACACCATAGGCATAGGATAACGTGGGATGTATCAGATGACTGTTTAGATAGCAGGTGCTACACGACTTCAGAGAAGGCAGCAAGCACTTTGTGCTGGGCCAGGAGGAGGCTCCTTAGAACTTCTGAATCTTGAAACAACAGTAGAATTCAAATCAGCATGGAGAAGTGGGGAGGGACTCCTGAGTGGGCAGGGGAATGACTGAATGTGTAGGGTGTGTTGAGAAGACAATAGGTTGAGTAGATAGGCTGCAATAAAATAAATTCTCTTCCGTGGGCCAGACTCTTTCTAGGCAGCTTTTCCAGTCTTGGCATTTTTAATGATCCTGTTAAACAGAGAATGATTGTAGTGTGCCCTACCTATTTTCTTAGTGTTCTGAAACTTTTCCTAACTTATATTTCTTAGGAGTTTTGTAAAGAAGAGAAGGAAGTTGTAGGGGGAGGAAGGTTGTCCAGGGACCCTTCTTTGAAGTCCAAATTTTATTACTGTTGAAGAGTTTTATGTTGATGGTAAGTAAGGATATTGTGAGCATAGAACATAACCAATTATTGTATCCTTTTGGTTTGTTATCACAGACTAGATGAGACAATACAGGCCATTGCCAATGGAACCTTCAACCAGCCACTGACCAAATCGGGTAGATCTTCTGCAGAACCTTTGGGAATTCTGGTGAATCCCAATATGGACCAGCCCCCTCCCCAGGTTAGTAGACCTTTGCTCTAGCTGATGACAGAAGTTTGTGCCCAAATACTCTCCTTTAATAAGTGTATCCATTTCATAGGCTTTAGGTACAAAGTCCACTCTCTCAAAACACCTGCCAACTTTATTCCCTAACTCAATTTTCTGTTTTTTCTTGCACTTCTAACAAATTGACCTGTATTATCAGCTGAGTATTTCCCAAGAGAGGTTTTTATTAAGTACAGTAGAAATTTAGACAGTTATCTTATTGTTTTGTTAACATTCTTTCTTTTATAGAATATGGGTAGTCCCATAGAGTAGTATTTTAATTTAAAATATCACTTCACTTACTCATTGTCATCATTCAGTTAGCCGTTACGTATGTACATTGAGCATCTGCTGTGTACAAGCACAGCAGTAAGTGATCAACCAGACACTGATTCTGTGCTCAAGGAACTCACAAACTAATAGGGAAAAAAAAAGCTTCATAAAAGCTAATAATAATAGAGATGTAAGTAAAGTATTGTAGGAACTCAGAGGTGGGAGAGACTACTTCCAGTTGAGGAAAATCAGAGGGTTTCATAGGGAAGCTGGCATTGGAAATAAATATTCAAGGAAATGGATGTTTTGGGATGGTGAAAAGAAAGCATTCCAAACAGAATGAACTGTAGGAACAAAAGCATGGGTACAGGAAAGTATACCCCCAGAAAACCCCATTGCCATCGAGTCGATTCTGACTCATAGCGACCCTGTAGGACAGAGTAGAACTGCCCCGTAAGGTTTCCAAGGAGTGACTGGTGCATTCAAACTGCCAACCTTTTGATTAACAGCCATAGCTCTTAACCACTGCACCACCAGGGCTCTGATAGGATATATATAAGAAGTAGTGAATTCAGCTACCTAAATCACCCGAAACCAAACCTGGCGCCATCAAGTCCATTTTAACTCATAGCAACCACGTAGGATGGAGTATAACTGCCCCGTAGGGTTTCCAAGGCTGTAATCTTTACAGAAGCAGACTGTCACATCTCTCTCCTGAGGAGCAGCTGGTGGGTTCCAACCACCATTCTTTCCATTAGCAGCCAAACACTTTAACCACTGTGCCACCAGGGCTGTCTGGCTACTATATAGGGCTCATAAAAAGGATTTTCATGGGAAATAGAGCAGGGTTAGGTAGGTAGGATGAGATCACTAAAACAGCTAAAATGTTTAGCTAAGAAGTTTTAACATTTTTTATTTGTAAATGTGAGCCATGAGTTTTTAAGCATAGAAATTATGCAATCAGAGTACTGCTTTAGACGGTTTAATTGGAGACATTCATTCAGTGCTGTATATGAACCAGGTTCTGTGTTAGCTGCTGGGAACTTAAAGGAAAAGGCCCACCCCTGTCCTTAAGAACTTCAGGCTTAGTGGAAAGATATATGTGAACACAAATAGTACTTTAAGATAATTGCTTTAATAGAGACATGTTCTGGGTACAGTAGGAATTTAGGAGAAGGGTATTCGTGAATCTGCTCTAGGAGTCACAAAAGAGATAGCATTTGAGAGGAGACTTAAAGGATGAATAGGAGTTTCCAGGCACACAAATCTGCTGAAGGAATTCCAGGCAGAAGATACAATATACACAAAGGCTTAGCAAATTGAGAGCACTATAGGTTTGGGAACAAGTAATTAAGTATAGTTAGAAGTTTAAATGGATTGGTAGGCAAAACCTGATCATGAAGGTCCTTATGTCTAATGCTGAGGAGTTTAGGTCTTATCCTAAAGTAGGCAAAGAGGAGTCCTTGAAGTTTTAGTAGAAAATTGACACGACTTTCTTGCCTATGTGGAGAATGGATTGGAGGGAGGGGTAAGACTTGACTAGAGGGAATTGCTAAGGAGGTCGTTGCAGTAGTACAGTGGGGAGATGATGAGGGCCTAAATTAGGGTTGAAGTATTGTAGGGCGATAGAGATTTAAAGGCTTAACATGGAGGTAAGGAGACTAGTTAGCAGGCTCTATAGTAGTCTTATTAAAAGATAATAAAGGATTTATTTAAGAAAGTGGCTGTGGGAATGGAGAAACAGGAAATATACATTTATGAGCTGTAGTAGAGATAGAACAGAAAGAACTTGGGCCTCAGGATTCTTCAAATACCAACTTTTTTATGAAATCACTTGTTTCCTCCATAATGGATTGGTTCTCCCTCTGTGTTCCCATATAGTAACTATTTCCTTACTTAGTATTACTTAGTATTTATTCCATTTTGCCTTATGTTTTAGATAGTTATTTATGTGTCAGTCTTCCACTAGGATTATAAGTTCCTTGAAAGCAAGAACCATATCTTTTTCGTATTTTATATATATCTCCCTTCTTTATGTGCTTTTCACATAGTTAAGTATGCAATAGATGTGGGTTTTTGAAAAGATATAACACAATTGATTAGAAACATGAAATTTTGTTGCAGAAAGATTCTCTGAGATTCATTTAGTCCACCTTCATCATTTTACAGTTGAGAAAACTGAAGTCTGCCACTCTAGTGTTTTTTTTTCCTATAAATTATTAAAATCAAATATCAGAAAATCAAGACAACTAACGCCAAACCTCACCTAACAGAGCCTTTTTTTTCTTCTTCTTGTTAATTTTGGAGCAGTCTCTGGAAGAAACTTTAAACTTTGTCATCCTCTGACTGAACAACTTCAGGACTCCTCAGTCTCCTGTAATTACCTGTACCCTGTAATTTTCTATTCCCTTTGCCTGAGCCTTGTTTCAGTCATGCTCCATCTTCTCTTTTGGGGACGAGTTGTTAATTTCAGGGTAACAGAGTGCTTCAGGCACCCAACAGTCAGAACTGCTGCTGCTGACAGCATCTGCCTGGCTTTATTATGGTACCAGCACGTGCCCCCTGCCCTAAACACGTGAAGAATATGTGAACCAAAATATCGAACCTTCATTTGGCTGATAGAATTATGTTTGGAAGTTGTCCAGAATCCAGTATGGATCACTAATAAGTATAAAGTAGAAATAATTATAGCTCTTTGGTCTCAGAAGTGTGGTGTTGCTAGAATTGGAAAGCCTTGTGTAGAAATCTCAACATTCTATATCATCCTTCAAGATGGAGTCTTGTTATCATACCAGGGATCCTACTGAATGTATGCCATCTCCACCTTTCCTGGCGTTGTTTCAGATAAAGGTGGGATACATTTTTCTAAGGAAATGCTGCCAGAATGATGGCCTCATTATTAGCATTCATCTAATATTATCCACCTACCTCATTCACCTAGACCTACAGGTTCTTCCCTTGTCAGACAGAACTGTATATTTGTTTTTGTTTTTTTCTGTATAGTGGGTAGACCAGACAGGTGCAGCCTCACAGAAGAGGTCTCTGCATTTAGCAGGATCAGAACTAGAGCTCAGTTCACACCAGCACCGGATGCGAATCCAGGACCGGGAGTTTCAGGAAGGCTTTGATGGTGGCTGGTGCCTCTCTATGCATCAGCCTTGGGCTTCTCTGCTTGTCAGAGGGATTAAAAGGTAAGAGTAGAAATGAATCTTGGCAGTGGAAGATCTTTGAGTGTTGGAAACTCGGTTTAGAATTATGGACCGGAATTAGTTTTCCTCAATCTAGTAATGATTTATAATACTCTTCAGTACATAGAACTGTAAGCAATATATTTATGTTACTGACTTGGTAGTAATTTTTCATTGAATAGCTTAAAACCCTAAGGTTAGAAAGGCTAATAATCTGAGTCATACAAAGAATAGCTTATCGGTTTTTTAAATCTTTGGAAGGAAATCTACTGAAAGAACTTTTCCTGGTTTTGCTTTTGTAATATACTGCTCAGCTACCTTAATGGTTTGATCCTATTTGAAGTGTCAAGTTTTTATGCCTGTTTATTCATTTTATTAAGATACTGGCCTGTGATTTTGTTTTTTTCATCTACATATCTGTTAATCTGGGTAACCATATTGAGAAACTTTTTTTTTAACCACAAATTCCTTTTCTGCAAAAAGCAGGGGAGGTGGTGGGGGATAAGGAGAAAGTGTTACACACTAGTCGTGCCTGTCAGCAGTGGGAATAGTTTACTTCTCCATGGTTTCATATGCTTCTTCGCAATTCAATTTTTTTAAATACTTTTTTTTTCTTTTATACATGTAAATAAAAAGTTGGAAAATGTAGAAAATTAGCTAAAAAGAAGTATCACTCATAGTCCCACCACCTAGAAACAGCTACTGTTCACATTTCAGAGTGTTTATTTATGTTGTTTTTCCTATGCATATTGTTGTATAGTGAGATCCTAGGATGTATTTATGTTTGTGTGTTTTTTCTTTCATTTATCATTACAACATATTTATTTTCCCTTCTTTATCTGTTAGAATTTTATAGGCCTGGCAGTATCCTAACTCGTAACAGCAATAATGCCTTGTATTTAAACAGAATTTTACAATTTTCAAAGCAGTAGGTGTATGAAATAGGTCAGGCCAGTAGTATTACAATCTTTGACAAATTCGTTAGCTGCAGAGATGGAACTAGAGTTCGAGTTTTCAAAGTGCTGTTTCCACTCTACTGTGCAGCTTCAGTCATTTCCCCACTTTCCTGAGAAGCAAATGATCAGCATTTAGGAACAATCATTTCTGCTTTGGTGGTTTCACTATTAGCTGTGATTTCCCCCCTGCACTAATGTACACTACCTTTTTCTCCCCTCTTGAAGGTCAGACTTTCTTACTCTGGCTCTTAATTGTTTTCTGTGTGTGCAGTGCCATAAGAACAAGTGCACGACAATCTGCTTCTGCCCCAATGAGGCCTCAGATGTCTGTTCTTCTTAGTCAGTTCTCTACACTTTAGGTGATTTCCTTTTTCAAAGTAGAAAACTAAACAGCTTGCCTTCTGCTGAGGAAATCAGAATATTTACATTTCTCTCGTCCTATTTTGGATCTGTGTTATTCATATTTTCTCACTGAAAAGAACAGGATGAGCAGCATCCAGCCCACAGTCACTAATCCCACAGAAATAAAGTGGGTGGTTCCTCCACATTCGTGAGACCTTTTCCCAGTAGCCCTTCAGGTTATTTGGTGTAGAGAACAGACATGTATTGATTCATTTCCCATTTATTGAGCACCTACTGTCCGCCTGGAACTCTTCTGCTTCATCTATGTTGGAAAACCAAAGATATGAGAAATTCACAACGCTCTTTCCCACTATAAAAATGGTATATATCAAAGCACTTTTATTTGGTGGGAGGTAAAAGAGAAACATCTTCTTACAACCTTTGGAGAATAGCAAAGTAATTAAATTCTCTTGAATGCATTGTTTTTCCACTTGAAGATTCTTTCAAGTTATTCAACAAATGGTTTAATATCCATAAAAAAAAACCAGTACAAAATACTTAGAAAATATAAATGAGTGTGGTTGTAATTTAAAGATGATAGACATTTTTATTGTTGTTGTTGTTAGCTGCTGTCAAGTAGGCCCCCAACTCGCGGCAACCCCACGCACAATGGAATAAAATGTTGTCAGATCCCGACCACCCCCATGATTGGTTGCGGATCCTACCATTGTGATCCATAGGGTTTTCATTGGCTGATTTTTGTAAGTAAACCACCAGGCGTTTCTTTCTAGTATGTCTTAGTCTGGAAGCTTTGCTGAAACCTCCCGTTCAGCATTCTGTTAAATAATAATTATAAATTACCGCTTTAGGGGAGTTAAATTTGTGTTTGAGGATTTTTCTATCAGATTGGAGGACAGTTAATCAACAGATCTTCCCAGAAAACTTTAGCCTTTGACTCAAAGAAGGACAAGGACTTTCATTTATGTGGGACAACGTGGATGCTTTGAAAGTATTGTGTTTGGATTGTAGAAGTCCCAAAGCTAGTGAGAGCTGTGGGTCTGAGTAGAGAGGTCAGGTGAAAAAGTGTTGAGGAATTGAGAGAGGTGAGTTGTCTTTGTTCTGATGATAGGAGAAATCACAAAACAGAGTTCATCCTCAAGTGAAGGGTATTGTGGGAAAAAAAGTGTTTTTCACAAACGCTATCCCTCTTGGTAAGGTATCATCTATAGACCTCTTGGTCCCACTGGATAATTTTCTATAGGGCTCGTATGTTATGTGATCCTCCAGGAAACTAGAATTTAGACCCGTCCTATTAAATTTGTATTTGTTTAAGGGTGGAGGGGAGAACCTGGTACACCCCTCACAGAGGACGACTTTGGATAGCAGCCACAGCCAAAAAACCCTCCCCTCAAGAAGTCTCAGAACTCCAGGCTACATATCGTCTTCTTCGTGGGAAAGGTAACAGCCATATGTTCTCCTTTCATTCCTACTTTGTGGAGAGAAGTCATCGACTTTCATCTTCTGTAGTTTTTTCCTGATGAAACTAAGTTTTAAACCTTGTGTTTATTGTTTGTTTGATTAGTGGCAGATCGTAGACAGCTGTTCAAAGCACTATTTGTCAAACAGTGCAAATAAAAATACCAATTTCCAATACCAGAAATCAATGGTTTAATCTAAGAAAACTTTCTCCCATCTCTTTTATTATGAAGGTGAAGTGACTGCTACAAACTCTGGAATCTTTAGATTGGGAAGAACAGCCACAGATGATAGTTTTTTATCTAAAGTGACCCAAATAGACACCTGCTATCAGATTTGGACAGATAAAAGTTGATTGACTTAAGCAGCATATTTTGGGAATCACTCACTAAAATTTGGGTCCTAAGTAATACTTCCGGTCGTTGGGTGTTATGTCCCCGTTCCCCCACCACCCGCCCCCGGCTTATCCAGCTCATATAGTTTTTTTGAAGGTAGAATTGAGAGGATAGTTGTAGATCCATCTTTAAAATGGTTTTTAAGAAACTAAGCATGAGGAATCACTAAGAATAAAAAATGTGTGCTTCCTTAAAAACACATTTCTGTTTTGACATATTTGAATAGCTTGTTTTAAATTTATATTCTGACATTTTTATGGTTTTTACCACCAGAGAAGAAAATTCTGTTTTCTTGACACCTGTAGCTGCCTTTCTTTGTTTCCAAAACCTATCACCACCAAACTCAAGTTTGATCTAGTCCAGCGTAATAGAATTAATTTGTTTGGAATGAAGTTTTGTTGTGCTTGAACTTTGATGGTGGGAGGGCAATAGGTTTCTAAAGGAAAATTTTCCTAGGATGTGGATAGTGGACTAATCAAGCCACTCACTAGATTTTTCCCTAAAATACAATCGCCACCCCCCCAAAAAAAAAAAAACATTGCTGTCAAGTCGATTCCAACTCTTAGCCACCCTATAGGACAGAGTAGAACTGCCCCATAGGGTTTCCAAGGCTGTAATATTTACGGAATCAGACTGCCAAGTGCTTAACCACTGCGCCACCAGCGCTCCTTAAAATACAAACAATTGTGCCAAATAAAAACTTCATTGTTCCTTTGTCTACAAATAGATAATAAAAAATGTGATTTGTTCAGAACTGAAAATAGACTTGTGAGTTCTAAGGTCACAAAGAAGGAAATTTATCCAGTCCTTTTGCTTTTCTTGATTCAGATTTGGAATTTCCCTGTGACTATCCATCAGGTTGTCTTCTCGGCTGTGTGGACCTAACTGACTGCTTGTCCCAGAAGCAATTTAAGGAGCAGGTGAGTAAACGAATACTTCTCTTGGAAAGATGCTTGTTTTACCACCATAAAATTGTGCCGCTGTCACTGACCTGTGGACTCTTCTCCGTAGAATATCCTGGAGATGGTATAGGTGATAGAAATTTTATATTTAGATATATGAGGAGAGACGTCTAATCAGGAAATATTGGGGAGAGAAAAGACAAGAGCATAAACAGGAAAAACTTAGTGGTGCTTTGATTTTTGGTGTATGGACTAGCGCATGTACATTTCTTTGTTAAAAGCTCTTGCCAGACAGCACACACTACAGGGGAAGTCAGCACAACTGGACTAAACCAAAAGCTGAGAAGTTTCCTGAATACAGCCAAACACTTCGAGGGACAGAGTAGCAGGGATAGGGGTCTGGGGACCATATTTTCAGGGGACATCTAGGTCAGTTGGCATAACAAAAGTTTATTAAGAAAATGTTCTGCATCCCACTTTGGTGAGTGGCCTCTGGGGTCTTAAAAGCTAGCGAGGGGCTGTCTAAGAGGCATCAATTGGTCCCAATCCACCTGGAGCAAAGGAAAATGAAGAACACCAAAGACACAAGGAAAATATTAGCCCAAGAGACAGAAAGGGCCACATAAACTGGAGACTCCGTCAGCCTGAGACCAGAAGAAGTAGATGGTGCCCGCCTACCACCAGTGACGGCCCTGATGGAACACAACAGAGAGTCCCTGACAGAGCAGGAGAAAAGTAGGGTGCAGAACTCAAATTATAGTAAAAAAGACCAGACTTAATGGTCTGACTGAGACTAGAGGGACTCCAGAAGACATGACCCCTGGACTCTCTGTTAGCCCAAAACTAAAACCATTCCCGGAACCAACTCTTCAGACAAAGATTAGACTGGACTATAAGACATAAAATGATACTCGTGAAGAGTGTGCTTCTTAGCTCAAGTAGATACATGAGACTAAATGGGTAGCTCCTGTCCAGAGGCGAGATGAGAAGGCAGAAAGGGACAGGGGCTGGCTGAATGGACACAGGAAATCTGGGGTAGAAAGGAAGAGTGTGCTGTCACATTACAGGGACAGCAACTAGGGTCATATAACAACGTGTGTATAAATTTTTATACGAGAAACTATCTTGAATTGTAAACTTTCACTTAAAGCACAATCTAAAAAAAAAGCCCTTGCCAAAATCCAGCTAAGAAGTATAGGGCATTCATCCCTTATTAAAACTTTGCTTCCTTTAGTGAAGAAGTTCTTAATTATCCCTTAAATCCTCTGATTGAGTGGTAGGGATGGTAGGATCTGCTAATGCTTCTTCTGGAGCACGTGGTCCAGGCCAGAGAACTCATGATCGGCAAGTGTGTTTAAACTCTGGTCGCCTGGACTGTGCCATGTGTAGTGCATATGTACGTATTCTGTATTTTTAGTCATTTTGGTCACTAAAGATTGACATAAATAAAATACATTTTTGAACAGCAGAGGGAGCTGGAGGACTTCATCTTAATAACAAAACTCCTGAAATGCAGAGCCTTTAGGTTTAGGCAGAGCCCTGGTGGTGCAGTGGTTAAGCACTTGGCTGCTAACCGAAAAGTCGGTAGTTTGAACCCACCAGCTGCTCTGTGGGAGAAAAATGTAGTAGTCTGCTTCCATAAAGATTTGCAGCCTTGGAAGCCCTCTGGGGCAGTTCTCTTCTGTCCTGCAGGGTGGCTATGTGTCAGAATGGACTCCAAGGCCTTGGGTTTTGGTTTGGTAGATTTAGGCTCAGACTGGTAGAAATCCAACCTGGGAAAGTCCACTCTCGAAGCATGAAGAGTGTTTCCTAACACTCTTTGAACAGTTACTTTAGGTAATAGGATTTCCACCACTGTGCTTAAGGAAATGTGCTTCGGCTTAATTTTCCTCAGAAACTTCCTTGTTTTCCAGACGTCACTGCTTTTCCTTACTGCTCTTAGTATCTACTTTATTTCTTTTCTTGTCCCTCTCACCCCCTCTGTCCTCTTCTCATGGATTTTAGCCAGCAGCAGTGTTATTCCTCTAGATTCTTGTCCTTCATTTTCTTGTGGGTTGCCTCCTCAGCCCTCCTCTGATTACTTTATGTGTAGGAGTACAGTGCATGCATGTTGGTGTGAATGATGACTCTCAGCCTCTTTTTCTGCCCTGAGTACCTGATTCAGACCTGGGCTAAGCCATAGACACGTGGAGGCCCTTCGTCTCTCACCCCCTTGTGCCTAGACTATCCCTCTATGGGCCTTTTGCCCTTTTTATATTTTTTTTGATGTCTTCTTTCCTACTCTCCCCCCCTTTTTTTTTTTTCCAGTCCAGAAGTAATAATTATAAAAATACCTTACATTGCTATGGGCTTTGCGGTTCTAGAGACTCTCCCAATCATTAACAGCTTAGTATAACTTAAAGGATTATGTTTTCCTCCTGGGATATTTGCATTCTAAAAGTGAGCCAAAGAGCATCTGGCAGTGGGCGGTGGGGTTTAGCAAGAGGCCTTGCTTTGCTTTCTCATTTGTCTATCAAACACCACCTGATGCAAGGTCAGATGATGTCAATCTTCAGACAGTTAGCCAATCTTCTTTCTGCCACAGATTTGTGTAGAGAAGGGTAGGAAACTATAATCCTAGTCTATGGAGTACTACAAGGGTTACAGAAATTAGAAATCTAACTAATAGAGCAAATCTTTTTGGTTTCTCAAGGATACCTGTCTTTCAGGTCAGCATGATATTGCTACTTCAGCTTATATTCTGTCTTCTCTCCTGAGGTTGCTATGAGCAGCACATTGAAGTGCAGGAATCTTCCCGTATGTTCACAGCTGGAGGTCCTGGCAACTTTCCTTACGAATTTCTCTGATATATAACATTATACCTAAATGCCAGAAGCCACTAGGCTTCCTTAAACACCGGAACCCCATAACCATTTCCCCCTATGGTCAGCTTGTCTGTGGCTTTTCCCCCATTTCTTTCCTGCATTTTAGGGTACCCCATGAATGTATTCAGAGTTGATATTAGCCCTATTTGGGGATTATTTATTAGATAAGAATCTTACAACTTTTAAAAGTTGTAGCTTTGGTATTTAGTTGCATCCTGGAAAATGTCTAGACTACCCTTAGTAATCTACTTGTCTCTATTTGAGCCAGAGTTCAGTGATGTAAGAAATGTGGTTGCCTAGAGTGTTACACGAGCCTCGTTCTTGTTTCTGAAGGAGTGAGTTGAGAGTTTAGGAATAATAGCCTTGGGACTAGCATTTCCCAAACTATTCCGTGGCATAGGTGTGCTCTGAAAAAAGGGTTCTATGGGCAAATGTGTTTGGAAAATGTATTTGGATGAAACAAAGTTGAGCATGTTTGCAGAACTTCTCGGAGCCATTAATATGCTCACGTGCATTATGACTCTGGGAGAAGTGCCTATAACATGCAGTGTTCCCAACTTTTGAACACAGAATTTTTCCCCTTCCCACTACCACTGCTTCTTTGCATATGGCGGAACTGGTAACCTGTCTGTATGCAATTTAGGAAGCACTAGTCTAGGTATGTTTGGCTTTCCTTTATCCTCATAGGTAAACTCACTGAGAGAGAACCATCCAGGAATCAGTTCCCTGACCTGTGTTTTTCTTCTGCATCTCTAGACCCATTTCTCATCACCCAGCTGAACTGCATTTTCTTTGAAAACCAGTGTAGATCTAGTACTTTTTTATTTTAACTGAAACTAAAAGTGATCCCATGTGACTTGGATCACTTTTTACTTCTCCATGCTCTTCCTTTTTCCTTCTCCAAAGAAACACAGTAATTTACTTCCTGACCTCACATTTTTGGCCTTTCTTTGGTGAGTTAAAATATACTGAGCACTGATTATTTTTTAGCATAGCGTGATCATCTACTTCACTAAAAAAAAGTAACAGGATAAGTTTTATTAGTGGTTGTTTTAAAATCAAGTGCACTATACTATGTAAGTGGCTTAAAAAATATGTGCTTAAAATACTTTCCCTTGAGCTAAGAACTTGTCTTCCTTTTATCTTCTAAGACTAGTATGGCTGGCATGGCTGATTTGTGCCAGGAGGAAAAAAAAAAAAAAAAAAGTCCACTAGACCCTCAATCCTACTGAGTAATGGCAGGGGATCAACCTAGACAAGGCAGGAGTGATACAGAAAAGGCTGTGGGCTCAACTCGGGAGAAAGGTAGATGAGAGCCATCTAGTTAAAGCTTTCTTGTATTCCCCTAGAAGGAGCCCATGCCATTTGCCAGCATTTTATCTGCCAGCAGCATATGTAAGCTCTCAAAAACAGCAGGGAGGATGTTGACTACAACAATGCATCAAGGCTGTGGTTTGTAACCTCAAAAGTAAGGCAGTTAAAACTTTTTTTTCTTTTTTTTTTAAACAAAGACATTTTGATTGCCAAACCCATAACCATTAGCAGCTGTGGTTGTGAACAGTTCTCTAGACCTAAGAAGTTTTCAGACAAAAAGTTGAGTTGGTGGTTTTTGTTTCTGTGTGTCTGTGTTGTGTTTGTATGTGCTATTTATATGCCTGCCTTCAATAGCAAATCTGATTTGTCTGTAATCTCCAAGATCATTGATTATTCTATTTCTTCTGAACTGAATCCATTCCTCTCTTGCCAGCTTACTGACCCTTTAGTCCATTTGATCTTATGGCTTTTATAACAGCCAAGACCCTGAGTATCTTCAAGGAATTATGCTGAGGGAATCTACTTCTGAGTGCGTCTATCTAGTAATAGACATCAGCAATGGAATTGCAGCCTTCTAGTGGGGAAGAGAGTAGTACTTGTTCCTTCTTTTATAAGAGGATCCAAAGTCCACAGATTTTCAGGAAAATTCCAGATATCATTTCATGTGTGGAAATCATTGGCTTCTGTCACCAGTGGATTATCTGTGGGTCTGAGAGGTGAGCAATTAGAGAATGAAGAAAGCGCTGTGCAATATACAAACCAAGCATTGGCCTTGAAGATGCAAAGTCCCCAAATTCTCTGGTAAGGTATATGAAAATGTCCTCTCTGTTGTACTGAGGA